AACATGGCTGGCTGTGGAATTCTGGGAGTTGAACTCCACATGTCTTAAAGCAGCCGGGATGGAGAAACCTCGCTATAATTGAAAAAAAAAATCCATGATGGCTGCAGGCAGAGGTTCAACCGCATCATGATGGCTGCCATTGTGACTTTTTTGACCCAACTTGACCTTTCACACTGGTCTCTGGGTTTCTGTTCTAGGGCAACAAGTACGTTTGGAATCGAATTGACCTCTTGCAAGCCGTCAGTGACCCGAAAGTTCGCCGTCTTATGGGTAAAGGTTCAAAATGCTTATTTCCCCCCCACACACACACACACATACACACACACCTGCCCACTGTGTGTGTTGCCCCCCCCTTAATGGCTGTGAGTGGCTTCGGAAGGAAAGTTATTAATCTCAGTTTACAGATCCTGGAGAAGTTGGTTACAAAGAGAGGGTCCTTCTCAGGCTGCTCACAATTTCAGTTTGTGTGTGTGTGTGTGTGTGTTTGTTGGTGTGACGTTACACAGGAGGAAGAAAGGACTTCCCTGTCCAGCTCAAGAGAGAAAGTTTTAAACAGCAGCATTCTGACGTGCAGTTTAACCCCCATCTCAAAATTTGCAATTCAAAACATTTGGGTTTGATTGATTAAAGAACAGGAGAAGGCCGTTTAAAAAATTCCTCCTTCTTTTTAGTTAGATTCCCAAGCTTGAATTGAATCATAAAACAAGCAAATGGCGTGGATTTGTGCTTTGGGTAGAACCCACCCAAAAGCTAACTCAGATATCACCAACCAAGCTTTTTGCATGTAGTATGAATGCAGCCAGAATGTCTTTATCCGATCTTGCAACACGTGTGAGGTGACTGCAGCCCCCTGAGTGGTTTGAATCCTGGACGTTCAACCTAGGCCAGGGGTAGGCAACCTGGGCTCTTTTATGACTCGTGGACTTCAACTCCCAGAATTCCTCAGCCAGCATGGGGGAACTATGGTCCCTTCATGACTCGTGGATTACAACTCCCAGAATTCCTGAGCCAGCATGGGGGAACTATGGCCCCTTCATGACTCGTGGACTTCAACTCCCAGAATTCCTGAGCCAGCACGGCTCAGCTTGGAAATCTCTCCCTTTCCCCTCAGCATGGCTGCCTCAGGAATTCTGGGAGTTGAAGTCCACGAGTCATAAAAGAGCCAAGGTGGCCTACCCCTGGGCTAGGCCTTCACTGGTGGTGGGAAGGTCCATTCCGCCTCTCTTCTTTTTTCCCAGGCCTCTTTGAACCTTCAGACATGAAATACGAGCTTTACCGAGACAACAGCACTGACCCATCGCTGGCCGAGATGACCGAAGTGGCCATCAAACTCCTCAGTTCCAACCCAAAAGGCTTCTATCTCTTTGTGGAAGATAAGTCTTGGGTCCCTATTAGGATGAGTGAGGCCTTCTTCTCAGGCTCTTCTCAGTGTCCGGACCTCCCCGAGCGATTGAAGGAGGAACCGATAGAGGAGAAGGGTTTGTTTTTTTCCGGGGGGTGGTGATGGTGAATGAATAGCTTATCTTTACATAAGATGGGGTAACCAGGTCAGGGAAAGCTCTAAACCAGTGTTTATCAATCTTGAAAATTATGATGGGTGGACTTCAACTCCCAGAATTCCCCAGCTAGCTATGAATGTTGAGTGAACTTCTCCCAGAATTCCCCAGCCAGCTACGAATGATGGGGAAGATGTGTGAACTTCAATTCCCAGAATTCCCCAGCCAGCTAGGAATGTTGAGTGAACTTCAACTCCCAGAATTCCCCAGCCAGCTAGGAATGATGGGGAATTCTGGGAGTTGGTCCATCTATCTTACAGTTTTCATCTGCTCTTTCCTTTGCACGAGGCAGAATAGACCACGGACACCACGACGGTATTGCGAAGCGAGCCCTGACGGAGGCTATCGAGTTTGACAAAGCCATCGAACGAGCCGGGGAGTTGACGAGGGAAGAGGACACGTTGACCGCCGTGACCGCCGACCACTCTCACGTCTTCAGCTTTGGAGGCTACACCCTCCGGGGAACCTCCATTTTTGGTATAGCAAATACCGTGGTGTGAGCTGGGTAGCTTTTGGAGAGAAGGATCTGAAGAGGTTGTTTGGCCCTCAGGGAGGTCATGAAACCTACAGTGGAGACCCTTACGAGGAACCTATGGGTCAGGAAAGATC